TGTCAGCTCTGAAAACATCGAAGGGCACGTCGGGTTATGACTAAATTTGAACGTGTTCGTTTATTGAAAGTTTTGTTTGAATCGATTATAGAAAATTGACGAAATTCTGGCCGGTCGATCTGAATATCACGAACATTACCCAGCAGTATTACCCACAGGGTTCCTGTAGAATGAAGCCGACATTTGAGATGCTTGTTTTCAAAAGATAACGTCAGGAACCAAATTGTTACTATGAAAAGTATATTTGTCCTGTTTTTGATCGAACATATTTATATGAACTCCAGTTTTAATTCTGTCGTCACCTAATCTGAAGAGCCGCAACAGCTCACTCGGTACAGCGACTGGCTACGGTCTGGACGGCCGAGGGGTCGGAGTTCGAGTCTCGGTAGGTTCAAGAATTTTCTCTTCTCCACATCATCCAGACCGGCTCTGGGGTCCACCCAACCTCCTATCCAATGGGTACCAAGGTCTTTCCCCAGGGGTAAAGCGGCCCGGGCATGAAGCTGACCACTCACTTACAGCTAGTGCCGAGGTTAAGAAAATGTGGATCTACACGACTACTCCCCCATACGCTTTCATGGCGTAGTGTTTAATTGGTTAAGCAGAGGGACAACTTTAACTTTACCTCATGAAATCTGAAGTTCTGCTATTGCCGTATATACTGCAATGTGCATTGGCTTCCCATTTATTTTCATTCGACCTGTTACGGCGCAGTTAATCCTGAGCAGAATTGCTTGCCTTTCCCCCTCCCCCCTCAGATCTGAAGGAAGAATTTCAAATTTGTTGTGGTCTCTCCTTCGTTATTTTGTCACTAGTCCTAAATCTCACACTCCTTAATCGGAGGTGGAATGCCGAATGTGTAAGGAGGTGTTTTTTCATTGCTTCCAAATGACAGTTTTTCCAGTTCTGTTGATAATCTCAAATCACATCAACTACATGCATAAGTTTCAACCTCTCCTTCATATCCGAATTTGTTTGGTATTCAAATATATTGAAGCCTATCAGTGGTCTCGAAAAAGAATTTGCACTGCATCTAATTCTTGAGATCCCTTTTGGTTTAGATATCAGATTTATATACTATAATTCAGATCTGCTATTGGCCGTCTGTTATTTTGGAGGACTTTAATAGAAACTGATATTTGTATGCCAACATTTCTTTTAATTCTGCTATTTATTTTGCTGCATTGTTACGTTTTAGGGTTGTGTGCGCGTGGCTTATAAGACGGGGTTTTGATTGTATGATTGGATTTATTGCACTTTATAAATTTTCGACTCATGACTGTAGGCAATACAGCGCTATCACTATTATACGCACTTTGCGGTTCACCGTTACACACTCACTAGAGTTCTCAGTCTTCACTAGTCGTATCCTGGCAACGGATTTATCACAGTCTCACTGCAACTTCAAATCATACATGCAGTTTTCTTGTCACAGTCTAATTCCTTTCTTGCCATGATTCTCGGCTCAGTTCATTTCCTCTGACTCCAGGCTCATATCCCGGCAGGCTGATGTCTCGAAATCGACTCGATACTATGCTGCTCAATTGAACTCTTCCTTATAACCGCTTTGCACGGACTCCACGGAAAACACCATCTTTATTGTCGCGTATTGTTTTAGGCATGTTTATCGCACCACTGCACAGCAACGGCCGCGGTGCAGACCATGAAGAAAACAGCCTGTCTATTGTTGAGGCGTGTTTACCGTGGTCACGTGTGTAACGAGTCGTTGCTTAGCAATGGGTGTACATGTCACAGTATCTTTGTAACTTCATGTACATGTTGTTTCTTCGAAATTATATTTCCGTAGTAAACACGAAGTACGTGTATTTCTATTTTTACTGTTTAAACATTTGTTCTATATAATTCCGTAACTTCAGTTTTTGACGTTGGGATTTTTATCATATTTACACATATTTATGTAAACTTGTTTAGTTGGCGTCTTGCGGTTTGCAACTAATCCTCAGATTTTATATTATTATTTGGTCTGCAGCATACTCGTATATGTTCAAATTACTTTGTCTTCATGTTAAAACATTAACATTTTAAATAGGGTATTATTTGATGGAGCCCCCAGAATTATGATTCTCACAGCTGTACTAAAAGAGAACATCCCTTCTTGCCCTCTGTTTGAATCCTTTCTGACGTGCACACCAAACTCTCCGGGAAAGGCAGAAGTGATGGAAGGAACTCCATTATTTACACTGTCTGTGTGATTTCCCTCAGGAAGAATTTAAACAGACTGAGCTCGCGAGATAAGATTGGACTGGACTAGAACGGAAGATAGAACCTGGTTTTGTTCTTTACTTCTAGATGTCTCTTCTTTGTAAGATAAAACCTTCAATTGACAGCAGAATGTGTGTTTCCGCGTATAGATTACCTTTTGCATATTTCATATTACTGAGAATAAACGGTTACTTTCAGCAGAACGGGTCGAATTATGGGCAGATGTCCATATATTGTGTTTGGAATGCGAAGTAATAAGCTTGCCGTGCCATATTTATCCGAATGTTACCATATTGTAACGGATTTGATCAACGCGTTGCCAGGCAACAGCTCTGTCAGCACGATCCAACACGCAACAATGAGGAGGCTGTGTTTTCTGTGTCCGCGGTGACGTCACGCAGTGGTGGGTGGTGGTCACGTGACATGTGTTTCCTGTGATTCGTGTCCGTTCCTCTGCTATATGAGTGACAGAATTCGTTCGGTTCGGGGACGAGTCAGTTCTCGGTAGGAGATAGACACAGGAAGTTCGTAGTTGGAGAAGAGTACAAGAAGTCAGCCTGTTATGAATTAACGCGTGATTTGAAGACTTTATACGTATGCTGTAGCACAGTGATATTGGAATTGTGTGAATCAGTTAGACTTTTATAGCTCCTGTGTTTTAAATCCGTGAGGACTAGTACAGAAATATTGAGAAGATTAGTGTGGAGTGACTGTAAATTGTGTAAAGCAGCAGTAGTGTTATAATTATTTGTAGTTACGACCTGTAAGAATCTAATAAGTCCAGTTACCAATCCAATCCCGCGTTTTAGTCATTGTGACACATGACAATATAATCCACTTTTCCGTTCAGGTGTTCATGATTTGCGTCCACACGTTCGACAAGTTTTCGGAACGTTCACTATTTAAATGTCGACTACGAGCCCGGCTCTTCTCACAGAAAGCTCTCTTTCTTACTCCCTCCAGGAAAAACGTGTGGCACTACTTTAAAACAGGCCACGAACATTTTCATTGGCGAACTTTTCTGGTGGACATATAAGATTGGCCGCCCTAAGACCTATGTAAATTAACACGAATCAGGGCTGGTAAATCCATCTACAGTTTTAATAAGTCACTCTTTCAACTAAGAGCATTATTAGGCTATACTTGTATCTTCTTCTTCTATTCCTGTTGCTCCCGCTCGGAGCATAGGGGATCTGTGAAACGCTTCGTTTCACCTCAGTTTCTTAATCTTAGACAGTCGGTAGGACTCCTTGGACGGGGGATCAGACCGCCCGAAGACCGCTACCTAACCCAACACAGAATAAACACAAATAGACATCCATGCTTTTAGTGGGATTCGAACCCACGATCGCAGTGTTCGAGCGGGCGAAGACAGTTCATGCCTTATACCATGCGGTCAATGTGATTGGCCTCTGCACGTATAGTTTAACGTTAATTTGTTAGTTACTTTTTTTGTTGATTTCTCTTTTTAATTTTTTCGTCCTGTAATTGGTCATTAGCCTGAAGGTTTTATTCTAGGTTTAACGCCGTATAGTTGGGCCGGTCGTTCCCGATATTGAGAAGAAGTTACCATCTTCTTCTTCAGGGCACTGCACCGTGTCAATACTCTTCCCAGTCCCAGCTACGGGAACCTCAATTCTCGGACATTAGGCTGCTAACTTAGCATGTCAATAAATAATAGTATTGGTACTCTTACTAGGACTACAATTACTTAGTTTTGTATATATCACTTATTATAGTCTCCTAGCGGGTTCGAATCCCGATAAGGAGCATTTTTTTCAATTGACCTAATCCTTCCAGTCACACTATGGCCCTGGGGTTGACTAAGCCTCTTAACAGAAATGAGTACCAGGAATCTTCCTGGGATGCAAATGGCGGCCGGTGCGTATGTCTGATAGCCTCACCGCCATCTGTGAGCCGATTTTCTAGACAATGTGGGAACCTCGACATCTCACAACTCCATGGACCTCCACGGTCAGTTACAGGGATAGTTTTACCTATTTACTTCTATTATTAATATTATTATATTTTTTTCCTTTGGCGCTACAGCCCTCATTTGGGCCTAGGCCTACCTCCATGAAACTCTCCGTTTCACTTCGGTTTACTAGATCTTACACATTCGGTAGGACTCCTTGGGCGAGTGATCAGCTCGTCGCAAGGCCTCTACCTGTAGACAAACACAGAAAAACGCACACAAACATCCATGCCCTGAGTGGGATTCGAACCCACGATCTCGGCTTCCTAGTGAGCGAAGACAGTGCATGCTTTAGACCGCTCGGATACTGTGACCGGCAATATTATTATTATTATTATTATTATATGACATTTATAATTTTATAATTGGCCTCTATGCTATTAAGTTAGAAGGTAAATAAATAAATAAATACAGAATCGAATTAATACATGGGACTCTGCCCTATATAAAAGAATTCAGGTACCCGATATGTTAATGTACTGACAATGTAGTTTCTTGCTTGAGAGTTCTCTTTATGTGCTACCATGAAATGACTTTACCAGATTTTGGCTATGCGAATCACTGGAGTCAGTCATCCACTGAAAGAAATAAAAGTCAGTTGAATTGGGTTTGCATTCTCTATGCTACAGAAAAAAGAAATGTTGAGACAGTTGTACAGTTCCTGTTTCCACAGAAGTTATTTTTCGGACGGACACATTACATACAAAGAAAGAAGACAGATATAAATTATTAAACGGCTTTATAACACTGTATTAGAATAAAACATTGTTACTCAGCACTAATTTCATTTCCTCTGTTGCAGGAATGTCCGGAAGGGCTAGTACACGAAGATTCTTTCAAGGATATTTACGCCAAATTCTTCCCACACGGAAGTGAGTACACAATTATATACATCGGCCCCATCTAATGAACCAAACAGAGAAGGTTTCATACTTACACCCGACGAAAGAAGCGGAGCCAATTTTCCGAAAATTGTGTTTCATTAACTGAAAAGAAAGCAATTGAAAATGTATAATTTATATTTGTCAGTAAATGGAAGTTCTTCTAGAATTTTCAGTTTTGTTTACCTCCATCATACAAAAATATCAATGTATAAAGTTAAACCCTTTCTTAAAATTCGTCACTGCACTACATGTTTTGACCTACTCGGCCATAATAAGGTTCACTGATATTCGGGGACCGCGTAAGGCACAGCAGTTCTCTCCTAAATTTCAACGCACCTGATAATGGCCGATTAGGCCGAAACATATTGTAACGTGGATGGCGAGAGCGTTTCTAGGAAAATTACCTGTAAACAACCTTCAGTCGAGTAAGCGCACTCAACAATAGGATGCATGTTTAGAGTTCGTTGTTAGGCAAAGGTCAGCGCGCCAATAGGTTCACAATATAGCTATCACGTGACTGGCTTTCTATGGAGTCCGTGCCGCGACCATTGCTAGACAACATCGCGGTAAACACTCCTCGACAACAATAGAGGCTGTTTTCTGTGCGTGGTCGGTGCGGAGGTTATATAACAAGATTCGATATAGAACCCATGTGGAGGCGGGGTCGAATACCTCCACCGTGACCATGCGAGTCATAGGAGGCGACGAAAAGGGAAGTCTCAAATCTGAGACAGTAAAATATGGTCGCGAGTACCAAGGGATTCGGACCCGAGAAAGACTGCGCTGGCAAGAGCCAGCAGCATATACAAAAGACAGAGCCGTCCTCACGTCAGAGAAGGCGCCCCACAGAAACAAGTCCGTAACTGTCACACAGCAATAAATATCTGGTCATGAGCCCCATATGAGGCACGGAACAAAGACTTTTTTTAATGTTAGTGGGGTGGGACTAAGTCCCTTGTACTGCGGCCACTTCTGGCCTATTGTACCAGCCCCAGATGATAGGTGAGAGTGATTGTGGAGCAATTGGTGGAATGAAGATTGGCAGGGGAAAACGAAGTACTCGGAAAAAACCTGCCACTAGACTAGACCACTAGACCACTTCGCCGACAAGCGGCGGTCTCTCGGTCGGTATAGTTCGCTTGCGGACTACAGGTCACGGAGTTTGTTATAATTTCTGTGTTGAGATCCATTACCAGGAGAAAACTAGTGTGTGTGTGTGTGTGTGTGTGTGTGTGTAAACCAACGATAGCGCTGTAATTGAATGTGATTAAGAGAACTTAAGTGCTAATAAATCCAATCATCAGAACTAGAACCGCATTATTTTGTCACGTCTACCACCCTACACATGACAATACTCGTATAGTTACGAATTTTTAAAAAGTATTTAATTTTAAATCTTAATATTACTCTGCCGGTCACGGTAGACGAGCGGTCTAAGGCATGTACTGTCTTCGCTCGTTTGGAAACCGGGATCGTGGGTTCGAATCCCACTCAGGGCATGGATGTTTAGTTTGTGTGTGTGCGTTTGTCTGTGTTTGTGTACAGGTAGAGGCCTTGCGACGAGCTGATCACCCGCCCAAGGAGTCCTGTCGTATGTGTAAGATCTAGACTAATCGAAGTGAACTGAGAGGTTCATGGAGGTAGGCCTAGGCCCACTGAGGCTATAGTGCCAAGGGAAAAAAATATTACTGCATGTTGGACGGTAAACAAAGCTAAAAATTGTACTACCGAGCCGGATATTAAACTATAACATTCTGAACTTCTTTAAGCAGTTTATACCGGCAGGGACGGAGAAGTGGAAATGCTTTGGACCTGTGTTCAGTGCTGACATAGTTCAAGTGACATTCAAGGATTAGTTTGCCACCATGGTTAACAGTTATAACACTTACATCTGTGCTCTCATAAACACAAATTTCCCCCCACTCCATTTCCCTTTCCACAGTAACACATGTTTACAAGAGAAAATTCCTTTGGCAGGAACTGAATGTACGCTTGTCCCAGAAATCTGTTTTATATCTCCCCCCTCCACCCAAACGTTTCACATAAGTTATATATACCTATAATTGTACTACATAATAGAGTTATATGTATGTATACACATACCAGGACAACTAAGTATAGGGAATAGATTACGTGCTGGATTAGCGAGGGTTTTTGTTCGAGTCCCTGCAGGGTCACAAATTTTTTCTCTGTTCCGCTGCGTCAAGACAGGTTCTGAAATCATATTTAGTAGAACATCCAAAGGGTAGGGTCCGCTCTTTCCTCGGTGGTAATGATGCCGGTGAGTGAAGCTGACCACTCATTTCACTGTAGGGCACGGATTAAGAATGTGTGGATCTATACCTCCACTCATTCATACGTATGCATGACTTGGTGCTTAATTAAACGCAGCGATAATTTTGCCTTCAAGAGGCTTGGAGCAAATAAGCCACTCGAATTCTTCATAACTGGAACATACAATCATTTTGAACCGAGCGCCGTGACACTTCATTAGAAATACAATTACACGAGACGTCAATCAAACTTAAAGCTTTGAACTAATGGTGAAAATCTTGCACAGAGGGGTAAAGTGAAAACCTCAGACCTCATGAAAATATACAATATTAGCGTTGTGATATTCGAATGAAATAAATTTCAAAGTTTGCTGTGACACACAATAAGAATATAATACACACAATAAGAATATTATTACGTTATGATTTCACAGAGGTTTCGCTGCTTGTAATATTATTTTACGATACACATTTCAATCCCTACATTGATAATCATCAAGCCTTTAGTACAAATGTTCAAGACGTATATTTTTATATATATTAAAGAATATTTTAACGAGAATGTCACACATAGTGAATAAAAGTAGCCACTATAAAATAGTATGTAAAATGTAAAAAAGTAAAGCTATCCCTGTAACAGGCCGTGAAAGCCCATAGGGTTATGAAACTTCGAGGCTCCAACTTTTTCTCTAGACAATCTGCTCACAGATGGCGGTTTGTCAGCCTTACTCGCCCTTTACCCCCCGGGAAGATTCCTGGTTCTCATTTCTGTTAGAGGCTGAGTCGAACCCCGGCCTTATTGCGGCTGGAAGGATCGGATCAATTGAAGAAATCCATCTCATCGGGATTCAAACCCGCGATCTTCCGGCTTGTAACATAGCTCCTTACCCAGCTACGCCACCGCGTGCCGTAAATAGTATCTACTGACGTAAAATTCTAATTAAAATAAGTAAAAATTTTAAGAGTGTGGCAAGAGTGTTGTGGCAAGTTATATTTTTATTTATATAGTACTATCTATTATACCTTTTGTTAGAATAATACTCTATATGTTGATTTTGTGGTAGTCTTTCGTAGATATTTTATGTGAATCGTCATAGAAAATTTGGATCATAATTTTTGGCAGGTATTAACTATTGACCACCGGTCTAGAAATCCTAAATTAACGGCCGTGAGAATTCGTTGCGCTGATCACGCAACACCCTCTATCCGCTAATGCTGGCACTAACTTCGTCGACAAGCGGCGGTCGCTCGGTCGGTATAGTTCGCTTGCCAACTAAAGCCACGGAATTCTTTTTGTTTATTAGCTATTGACCATATTAAGTACCATATATTATTAAATCAGTGCGTGATGACTGTTTAGGCTTATTGTATATAGTACTGTTATGGAAGTTTAGGGAAGATAAATAAAACAGTAGTAAATATTTACAATCATTAAAATTAACTTCTTCAGTTTTTGTGTTACATAAGAATATTTTATCATTATATTCTTTTCTAACTAACTAAATAGTGCTATATTTTATTTTCTATGCTAATGTATTTCAGGTGTAAAGGGGTGTCATTAACAGAAATGTTACTTTACTTTCATCAGCCTTTCTTTAACTTAGTGTCTTGCCAGTGTGGAACACGTGGTTGGGTAGATCGTGACCCATAAATGAAACTACTAAGTGCCGATCAGTCAGTTGACTGCTAGAAAAGTACGGTCTTCTGTGTTGTAGAGGTGTGCAGTCCGACGAGAATGGAGGAACATATCACCTCCATCATCAGGGTGGAAGATTAAGTCAAATAGAAGCAGGATTCAAGCTGAGCTAGTTAAGTTTGCCACCTCATAATTTTATCCTCGGCTTACCTTTATACCCTGAAGATGGAGGCAATATATTCCTCCGAAACTTGTGACTCTCCGAACTGATCGGCATCACAACCCAGAAGACCGTGTTCTTCATAGTTGCTGTAGTAAGAAAGTGAAATAAAAAAGTTACCACTACCTCACAGAGAACGTACACAGGGACATTGTGATGTAAGGGGAAGACATATCTGATTTTCAGTTTACTGTAGAACTAACATAAATCTGGGGGAAGTAACTCTACGTTTGGTTTTCTTGATATGAAAAGGGATCTTATTTACTCTTCTTTTACAGTTCTTTCAGTACTTTGTGTTTTTGAAAGCCAATTTCTTAGAAAAAGAATTCTAATAAATTAAAAAGTTTTTATTGCTACGATGTCTCTAAAATAAAAAGACAACTTTTAAATTTGAATTTCAAATAAAGTTATATTTCAGTTGTTATTCGACTGCGAAATAACTAATAAGATTCGAAAATAGAAGTCACATGGATTTTAAATATGGTTACACCTACACTGTAGTGATAAGATTTCAATTTCTAAATACAGAATGGATTTTACACAGAATTCAGAACTACTTTTATATTATCTTTATCTCCTTTATTTTATCCTTTTCCTTTTCTCTCGCTCCCCATTCCATTTTATTTTAAAGCTGTCAGAAGTAAGTTTTCTTGAAATATCGTCCTTCTTGAAACGCTATTGCCTCATTATCTTGCCTGCAATTTTATATCGACGCGCCTTTCCGGCGACTGCAAAGAAAACTTCTTTCGAACTGGGGGGAATTCCCTTTAAAAATCCCATCCTCTCATAACTTCTTAGTCGGTATAAAAAAGATTGGAAGATAGGTCTGATTTATTCATGTAAAGTAGTTCTTATGCTA